GAAGCTTGCCTGTAGCTTAGCTGGTTTCATTATATATGATTAATTGTTTGTTATATCATTCAAAGGTATATTAATAGACGTCACCTTCAGTTATACCTGTGATAACAATTGTATAAGAAGGACAGGAAGTGAAAGTAGGTTTTTAACAGATTTTCTGAAAACATTCCTGTGAATCCATGTTTTAAAGGTAATAAAGTATTCGAAAATTTAATTGTTAGATAATTGATGGATACTGAATACTATGTGGACGCCTCTGAAGTACTCGAAATCATTCATATCAATCTGACTAATTAAAGTATGTTCAACATTTGTTTATAATTATGTGCCTCTGTGCGATTTTAGGCTATTTTGACAACTGGTGATAAGCCTTATAATAGAATAATGAATTAATTTCCATTCTGTAAATTGTATTATTTTCGTATTGTTTACATTTATCAAAGGACCAAGTTGTATGAAACAAATAATCAATTTGACAAAAGATAAGTAGATGAAAAGAGTGAAAGGTGGAGTGGAAAAAATATTTGCGAAACATTCGTAATGGTGAAAAAGTAAACGTACTGATGTTAATACACGATTGTACTATGTTACGTAGTCAACAGCGGAAAAACTATTCGACTTAAATTACGTTCTGATCAATGATTGTCAGCAAAGATTACTTGCAATGCCAAGTGGACTGAAATTCCATGTGAAATATAAACACATGTCGCCCAGTTTCATAATCTTAGACGTTGCTGAATAGCTTGAATAGTGTTGGTAGTAACGCTTCATACTGTGAAGTTGAGTGATCTGGGTTCAGATCCATCATCAGACATCAGTCTACTCAAAATGGCAAGTACATTTTATGGACGATTACCAGATAACTGGCAAAAAATCTAAGTTGAGCAGGGTTCATAGCCGGTTATCTACAACCAGCTAACAAAATTGTTCATTTAATATTCCTATTCATTCAACTCAATTAGAATCATAAGGATATTAACGTTACAATAGTTAAAGAGTTGTCTTTTAATTTTCAAACAGTTGCGCCGCAAGATATTAGAAACACAGTAAAAAAAAATAAAACTTTCCATTTCAAGTTTTATACCTTACTTTCCCCAGTTATATATTCAATGAAATATCAAGATATAAGAATAAAAACGTAATATATTTGACAACGTCCCTGAAAGGAAAAATTAGGGTAGAATTGCCTGATTTTCCATTATTTTATTTAAACAATAAAACAATAATTAAAACAATTACAAAAAAGAATAAACAATATACACATTGAAGGCCGGAAACTCCATCCTAGTTTATAGTAAAATTGAATAAAATGAATAAATATGGGGCCAAAATTGACAAACTATTTCTTAAATGGGGAAAAAAAATAGTACTCATTCTCATTTCTGAATTATTGAACTTATAAAACGCAATGAGCATTGAACACATATAATAATGACCAATAGCTAAAAACGCTCCCCCTCGCTCTCTCTTTATGATTCCAAATAACGTATAGAGAAAAATAAACCCATATAAAATGGAACAATAATCTAACAATACCAGGTCACTAGTGTATCGAAATTACGATAAAAATGGTGAAAATTTATGTGAATCGATTCTGTTTACTTGTGTCTTTCAACATTTTATGTACTTGTGTGACACTGATAATGAACAGTAAGCACAAAATTGTTGATCAAGACAAATAAGGAAATAACTAGCGAGTAGAAAAGAAAACATTTTTCGGGTCTATTTTATTCATTATAAATAAAAAAATTACCAATCGGTGTGCTAGGGTAAGGAGAAAAAACTGATATATAAACCTAACAGTAGTAATCATAAATTAACAGAATGGTACACACTGATGCCAGTTTAATCTTAAACTGAAGAATTGTAATCATCAATGTCACTATCAGTTTAAATACAATTTTTATTTATTTATTTTGAGTTACCTATTAGGATAGTAAATTAATCAACAAGTTACATTTACAACTCTGACAGATAGTTTGATGATGAATGTGTGCGTAGTTAAAGAAAACTTAAAATCAGGATATCATTTTTTCATTTATCTAACACTAAAATACAGCGTACGGCAACTGAATAGATGGCCACATTTTAAACTTAGTCAATATAAGTATAGGGGTTGCGGAGATTATCAAGTTTTTAATTAAGATCATGAACCGATTGATATAGGTAACATTGAACTGTTTATATTTTTAGCTGAATGTTGATCATTTTTAGTTGGGATATGTACATCATATATGGATATAGTCATTATGATACAAGTTATTGTGTAAAATAAATGGAATGTTGCTAGTAGTAGAATTTGGGATGCATGTATCATCCTATTTGAGATTAGGTACTGGGTTCGAGTTCTGAAGTAAACATCAACTCTAGAGTGTAATTACATCTAGCTCATAGGTAGGCTACTGATTTTGTCAGCTTTAAGCATATTTAACTGAGGACTGTCAATAAACCCAAAATCCATAATCATTAACTTCTAAGTAAATTTTCTAAAACAATTCAATATGTATCAGAAGAGGTTTTTTGGGAGATTTTAGTGATTTCAATAGTTGAAATCATGAGTCGATTAGAGCTAGACCACCATTGAAAATACGGAAGTATAGGATGACTGAGGAGTCTTGTACTAGGACGAAACGGCTGTTCAGTGCTTCCAGGTTTCCAATATGGTCTAGCTTTAATAGACTTATGAATTCAATCATTAAATTTCTACAATCTCCATAAAACCCCTTTCTGATAATTTAATATGTAACAATAAATGTTAGGGATTGTTGAAGAAGATGAAATTGGTATAATATTCTTTTTAAATCATTAATATCCTAACAAAAAAAATACTATTGATCTAGAACAGTTTAGAATTATTAAGACTAATGGTTGGACTTCATTTTAGAGAGTGATCTTAATTGATCTGTTATCTATTTAATAATCTACGAATAAAAGATGAAACAACCGTAATGAAATGAAAGGAGTTGTATGATCTCTCTAGTCGGATTATCGATTAGTTGACCTATATTGCAAACTTATTATTATTATTATTATTATTATTATTATCAGCTTTATTCAATATTATATTTTTGGTACAATATAGAATTCTCAGCGTAAAGTATTTCAACAAGTTTCCGTTTCTTTCTTCTTGGTCGGTCCTGGCGATAAATATTGAGTGATCGCCAGTTAGATGTTAGCAGTTCACTAAATGAACATCTGAATAATATGCATTCTTTTCGTTGTATATTGCCAGCAACCACATTGTCTCTTATTGAGTTCTTTGTAACTTTGACAACGAAAGGTTGTACACTTTTCAGAAACGCAGCAGAATAGGTTGTGCGATTAATAAACATAATGATATATTAAGATAAACAAAAATAGATAACTTGTTGAAATATCTAGATGGCAGGAACAGGTAGCCCAGATGATCAAGCAGGCCGCCGAATACAATGACTAGTGATCTATTTACCAACTGACACATCAACCAATGAACAACTAAGAAGACATTAACATAAAAGTTAATACCGACCTAAACTTACATAAATGCATTAAAGTCGTGAGATATGCATGAGGAGGACTAGAGTATACTATTAAACTTAGACATATGGCAAGATCGGACAACTTGGGTATGAACTACACGACAATTGGGAAGGCTAATAATAGTGTCCAAACCGTAGTAGATGGAGCGGGGTTTAGACCATTGGTTTATTGGCCAGAAGTCTAATGCCTTAATCACTAGGCTACTGCTCCAGACAACACTGGCTCACAGATCCTCCATGTCACTATCCCTTAGCTTTACTTCAACACTACTGACAAAATGAATCTAATTTGTGCAGATACATACAAGTGAAAATTTTCGGTAATCAAAGTTCAACGGTCATATTGTGCAACTGTAAAGTTACAGTAAGCACGGCCATTTATTAAAACTTTTTGTGTACAATAATTGCTACACACTGATATTTGTTTCGTATCGAAGATTTCCAGTCTACGAGTTTTCCTTTAGATTTATCCACTAAAACATCAAGCAAAAAGTAGGTTAGTTCAGAAAGCAACGCCCCTAGCACATGTAAATTATGGTTCCAACTTCATTTATCGGAAAACCATAACTAGTAAATATAAGTAAAAAAATAATAATTTAAATAACAGTTGAAAAAACAACTGAAATGTAGTTCAAATGATACATAAAAGCAAAAACAAAGCACTGAAGAGAAATGAACATTGAGTATATAAATAAATCATGAAAATTCTGATAGAGTATACGTCTATGAATGGGGTATTTTAATAGTGTGATATGACGTGTTAAACCGTTTGTTTATTAAAGTAATTAATGATAGAAATAGTGAAATAAAAAGACATATAATGTATAATAAAGTAGATAGACAGTAATGCATAGATATGAAACTCAAATCAAACTATTACCAAGATGGATTCCTAAAGCTTTATCCAGGAATTCCAGAAGAGAACAAGGATAAGAGTTAAATAATAACACTGAATCACAATAGCACACTATATCACATATTGATTAGTTTGTCGTTTACAGATATTATAGCCTTTTTAAGGAAATGGATTTGATTTCATTTTAAGTTGTAAATGAGTCCAATTGAGTAGCTAACTAAAACAAATCAACTGTTCAGTCTACTGTCGATTTCAGTAGTTTATTAATTAATATAAGTTTATGTAGAAAATTATTTTAAAATTGCAGATAATCTCTATGAATGGAACATTCCATTATAAATGCAGCACATGATACAGTTTTGCTAGATTAGCATAATAAAGATTGGTAATTTAAATGACAGAAGGAACTAGGGAATAACTAATTATCTCATGAATGACTTAAACTAGGGTTTTATTATTCATCTCAACAATGAATATATATAGAAATTATGATTATATCGAAAAGAAATATATATAGAAACGTATATAATACACAAATATAATGGAATTTCATGCTTGAAAATGTTACGTTTGAGAGAATTCTCTTATAAAACACAAATAATCTGTCATTTTATAATATTTTAACTTACCGAAAAACTTTTCTATCTACTTCACTCATAACATTTTCAACTGGATCTGTACATAAATCTAAACTGCATAAAGGTTTTCGTCTACTACTGATGAGATTGCTAGCTTCAATAAATAAGTCAAGGGGATTTGTAGTACCTATACTTGTTGTCATGGCAGTTGATGTGTATGTTGTTGGAGGATCATTGTTAGACGATCGTATTCTATTCATAGTGATTAATTCCAATCTAATATAGAAGAACAGAATGGATAAATAAATAAATATATAAGGAGAATTTCACTGTTTAAAAATACGTGTATATTTGTGCCGGTTTGTATCATCCTGTTGTTGATGTTAAGAGCTATAATTGATACATAAATTCCAACTGGTGTTTCTAAATATTGCCATTTAGTCACAAGTTTTAGTCAAGGTTGGACAGTGACTAGCCGTGTAATCCAAGATGCACATTGAATGTACTTGCGTCCCACTGTTGATGATAATACTGAGACTTGAACGCAGTAACATTTGCAACAACTGCTGACAAGTGATTTGCAGAACTACTGAGTTAACATAACCAATAGTCCGAACAACGGAAAACGCACAGAGTACTTAGAGAGAAAGGTGCTGTGCTAGAGTCTCAGTGTGGACATCAAGACTAGATTAAGTTGATGAGCTTCGAATAGGATAAATTTCACTGCTAGCCACTATCCGAATTTATTCGACGCGTATATGTGTATAAATATAATAGAATATTACTGCATAAATTCTAGTCAAGATTTTTCGAGAATGCACATTACTACTAATTTCCAGTTAACCTTTCCTAACACATTTTTATTATTCTGCACGATTACTCAGATCTTCATGTTCCTAGTTCCACCCACTGGATAAGCTAACTCTATTCTACACGCTAGCTTAATGCGTGCAGTTTGGAAAAAAACCTACTAACAACAAATGATTCATTTAGATCAATACAAATGCATAACTAAGCACGAATTTGTATAATCTGGTTCGAGCCACATTATCAGTAGTATTCTGTTTGTGTAGGCTTATGATAAAGGTCGTTTGTTTGTAATGAAGTAGGTAACAAGATTTGAACATGTGATCCAACAGTTAAAAGTAGGATGCATTATTCACCAGTCGATTGTTTCATACAAATAAACAGAAACTAATATCAAGTCATAATTGGCATAAGCTCGACCAAACCAATGATTTATTTACAACACAAACGATTACAGATGTTTTCAAAATTTTCAGAACAAATTTTCGTTGTTATTTAGCTATCATGCTTTTTTACTCTTAACGATATATCTGCATTTATTCAGATCGAACGGTGGGCGCTTTTTGGTTCAACCATTTAACTTTCAAAGAAAAAAACAACACTGAATGGAAGATTCAGTTATCAACGTAAAATACTAAAAGCCAGCTACGTACGTAAACCTATTTGTACATGGTTAACTGAGAGTTACATAAACCTTATCTTTAAAACAAAATAGGAAAGATAACGATAGAATATTTTTGAGATGAAGAAGATTAGTAGCTAAGAATGATAATTTTGTTAAAGTTATTAACTCTAATTTGACTGATGTTTGATTGTGAAGCTAGCTTTATCTTTCTAGACAACATTGTCAGAACATAGTTTAGATATAGAAGATTTTGACAATTATAATCCATGTGCAAATAATCACAGGATAAATATTAACAACAACAAATTCCAGTCAACTCTCAGGTGATGGTGATGATGATCAGTTGTGCAAAAAAAACAACAAATTCTAACTGTGCACTTTTGTCTGAAAATTGTATTGCTGATAAACGTTGCTATCTTCTTAAAAAAGTTTCACCAATAAACATCCGTTAACACTGTGAATGTAACATCAAAAAAACAAACTAATGTAAACAATGATTGTAACATATATATTAATTAACACATCAACTATAACTAATAATGTACACCATTAAGATACGATTATACTTTTTTGATTAAAGAAGTTTCAGTCAGTCAGTAACAACGTAGAACTTCGTACGTACGTACATCAGTTCGAGTTGCCACATCATATTGGCACAGAGATGCAGTGGTCGATTCAAATCCCGTAGTGGTACAGGTAATAAGAGTATAAGCAGTAATCAGGAAAATTAGTGTTTGGAGATGTTATTTAAAGAGTATAATCCAGTGAAATAAATTTGGGAAGAGAAAAAAGAGACAAGGAGGAATAAGGAAATCAAAATTTGGGAGAACACAAAGAGTGTATGCACCTGCGTTATTGCAAACGATTTTGAGCCATGTCATCCAAGGTCTCTAACCATCGGTTGCTATCATCTCGACATGACTCAGACCACTTGTCAGTGACTTCATAGACTTGTGCCATGTTTTGGTCTGGCCGCCTCTAGCTTTCTTCCAACCTACTCCTATACCACTGAACATAGCACGTCGAGGCAGTCGGTCGTTGGGCATACGTAACACGTGTCCCAGCCATCTCAACTGATGAAGTTTCACTTCGTCATCAATTGATTTGCCATCCTTACCTAGTACCCGTTTCCTAACAATTGCATTACATACTCGATGGTCCCAGGATATACGAGCAATATTTCGAAGACACCTATGATCAAATACTAGTAACCTACGAATATCCTCTACTCTTACCGGCCAGATTAAGGGGGTTTATAATGGAAAATTCCGATTGAGCAAAATGAAACAGAGAAAAGCGACTATTGAATTTAAAAAACTTGTGAAATTCAGTTTTTTTCTTTTTTGTTGTTAAGATGGATGACAATGATCAAACAAAAATTACTCATAATGAAAAAAGAAAAACTACTGATGAAAAGTTAAACAGAGTAGTATATTGTGTATGGTGGTTGAAATAGTAGAGATAAGGAATAGAGAAAATGAACTAAATAGAAACAAGAAAATATGAAAAGATGTAACAATAACAAGTGTTAACTCATTTGCCAATGTCTCAAGTGTGTACTCTCTCTCTCTCTTTCTCTCGCATACCCACTATATTAGAGAATGTTTTATATAAGGGGAGAAACAATATTAATAAAAGGGAGGAATAGCGATGCATGAAACAAAAACACACGAAACATAATATAATTTGAGCATTTTGTTTTCTTACCATAACAAATACTTCTCATACTGCTTTAATCTTTAGTATTATTATTTGCAGACAATTAAATTAATGAATTGGTTGTCTCTTCGACGATACTCATCAAGTCAGTGTGCATGCACATACACACACACATAAACATAGAATGGTTATTAAAGAAAGTAGTAAACATTAAACATTTTATCTTTGGTGATAAATAAACTGTTTCTATGAACTATAGATTATAACAAAAGAAAAACTATTTAAAAAGCATAATAATCTATGACGGTGAGATAAAATCATCAAGACAAATGTCAGATTAATAGAAGTATTAACAATACTAGTGGTAGCAGAAAAGACTAGACTTAGGAAGTTTCGAGAAGAAAATATCAAGTAACGAAACAGAAAGCTTAAGGTAAATTTAAAACTCAACATTTAAAGGATAGGCTAAAAGTGAGTGCATATTAGCCATTGTAACCGATTTTGAACTATATAACCAAATTCTGGACAAATTGGATACGATAATCGAGAGGACTTCAATAATGTAGTCTGTAAGTACTTACACAGCTTAAGTTCAACAATCATGGACCGATACTGTCTTTATTTGGTTTCTTCTATCTCTTTTCCAAACTACTGTGAAACTACACATCATGACGTGTTGAAGTAGGTAGTGTTTGGGCGCACACAATACATGTCTCAACCCTCTCAATCGATGACGATTCGTTACCTCATCAACTGGTTCGATATCTTCATTTAGTACTTGCGTTTAGACTCAAAATAGTTTACTTAATGGTCCCAATATATACGAGCAATACTTCGAAGGAATCTATAAACAAATACTAGTAACTCTATTTTAATTGGATGAAAGCTGCAAAGCCCAACAATAACAAATTGAATTATAAGATTAGGAATTAATATGAATACAACAGGACAGTAAATTTTTCGAGCGATATGCAGGAACATTTTATTTATGATTCTTAAGGATTAAAGATCTGCCATTGTCTTTGGAACAGTAGGTGAAATAAATCAATCCCCTAGCTAATTAATATTAAAATCCATTACTATTGTAAAAGATGTAGACGAGGATATTTTCGTGGAATGGAGGAATATGTAGATATACAGTAAAATAAAAAGGGTTTGCTCGACATGTGAATAGTGAATCTCGGATAATACGTTACCAATGCGAGTTTTAGAAGATCAAAAATAAAAATGAATGTATCAGATCAGAGATAAGTAGAAGCAGAGGTGAGATTATTGATAAGGAGTAAATCAAATAATTTCGATAAATATTACAATATAGATTTCACAGTATGATACACAGGATTTCATGAAATCAAATATATATAGCGGATTATTTGATGTATCGTTACACATACAGTGACCATTCGTCCAAGATTCTAGTTTGCACTAACAAAAAGCATAAGAGTCAGGAAAAAGTCTAAACTAACTCATTTGTGCAGTTATTCAATACCACACATTTCGTATATGAAACTAGAGCAATCTTTTAGATACATATTCATTACTAATTATGAAGTACCAGTTCAAATGATGTATACCATCATCAACCAATTATGCTGTTCTCAAGGAACGACTAGTGGAGCAATGATAAAAATGACAATATCTGTTATGTGCGGTCAGCGAAAGTAACATATGATAAAAGAAAAGCTTCTCCATCTAAATTAACTTATGATTCATTTTTAAGTGTAAAAGAGTGATTTCACTGTTGGATTTCACGCCGTATGACTGATTATACTTGAAATGAACAAGTTATTCTGTCTGTGTAATCTAATAATCGGTCAAAGATTATGTTGGTAAGTAGCAAATGATCTAGTATAATGTCTCATTTAGTATCGTAATCTAGAGTTCCTAGTCTACTATTATTTTGCTTAACGCATAATGTAGAATATTTTTGTTTTAGCATGTATTTCGTATTGAGGACAGATTTTTTTCAACGCCTTAGTTATGTTAAATTTGTAAATTAGAACATTGTGAACAGTGACGAGAGATGAAATTAAATCAAACAAAGCACTTTCACCGTAACTTTTTCATCATTTACTTCTATCAACAACGATAGGAAACGTGAATCAATAGTTACATGTTATTTGGCAAGCCTATAAAAATCCCCCCACTCATGTATTTTTTAAAACCAACCACCAATAACGAAAGTATATAGGAAGTAACCAACACCTAGAAAACAGCCTTAAAATTTAAGAGTGCAAAAAAAGTAATTAAGAATACTTAAGAAATAACAATCATCAAAATTTAGTCTCTGTGATGAGCATTGTTGAGATGCGCTGAAGAATGTGTGATAATCTACTAGGAATTTTAAGAAAAAATAAGTTGACATAAAAATTAGGAAATTTTCATCAGCGAATTAAAACTTGACGGGTTTATAGTGAAGATGGTAGCATACAAACAACTCTTGAAAAATATGGATATACTAAGAATTTACAGACAAATCAATGAATCGTCAAAATTATGCAACTAAATATGTATATATAACAGAGTAATGTGGATGACATTGAAAAAAACTGAGCAAGATAAAAATATGAATATAACCTGCGGGAAATTAGCATTAGCTACAGGAAATCATATCTAATTGAGATCCACAAGATTATCGTGACTAATAGTTGGCTACTTTGAGTGGCATGGTTCATATTTATTTGTAATAACGCAGATATATTTTTACTCTTTGTTTTCCTTTAGATCCTAAGTTACTTGATAATTTTTAAGTTTTGTGATTTACGAACATATATTTTCTCGAAACATATTTTCTATACCTAATCTGTTCCGCTATCATTAATACTGTTGATACTTCTACCAGTCTGGTATCACACTGTGTTGATATAGTAAAGCGAATTGAACCAATATAAATATTTCGGGTTTCACGTTGCATTTGACTGACGAGAACTGTGGACACATGGTCAAAGTCGAGGTCACTCGTAACAGACCGACGGGTTCCTATAAGTTGTAAGGGACGTGAAGAAACCTAATGCTTATAAGCGGGACGTTTCGAGAAGCCGCAAGCGACTTTACTCGCCATTTCCATGGCGTCATCCAATCGCAACCAGTTCTCATCTATACTTCTCGGTGGGATGGTAGCAAGCCTTGAACCTAGTTCGGTTTGATATTTAGTTGCTACAGAAGCTGTAATCAATTTACTGATATCGATCCGTTTAGGATGATGAATTTGTTGGCCACTGAAAAGTAAGGTAAGATTAGCGTAAACAAGGGAATGATCAGAGTCCAGATAGGTACCCCAGAAGGAGCATCAGTCTTGTACACAACTACACCAGCGGTAGCTGTTCGCGATGTGATCAATCTGAATCCAGGCATGGGATTAAGAGAGAGGACGCCAGGTGGTTTATTAGCAATGACGTCGATATTATGACTTTCTAAAGACATAGCCAGCCCTATCTATTGTCCGGTCTGCATAAGTGTGCAAAAATTGAAGGAAGCCAGTTTGAATGGTGCATGTGGTTTTAGAAAAACTGTTTCAGTATTCGTATTCGGTGGTAGCATTCAACTTTCGACCAGTCGGTGACTCGAGATCGTTTAGATAGAACAGGGTTTTCACCATAGGTAAGCTGCTTTATAAGTTGGAAAATATGAATACATAAAGTGAGAATCGAAGAGAGTAAATAAGCGACATAGTATGAAAGAAATAAAAACGAATGTTATCAAATAATTGTGAGTAGGAATAGTCTAAATGTCCACAAGGCAATGGAGCAACGTTAGAAGATGTAGTCCTATGGTTGCCAGTGATCAACAGTGTGTTCATATGCTATTTGTTCCCTCAGGATCCTGGGGACCATGTGAATTATTGGTTTGGAATCAGGGTTTTTCAATTCTCCTAGGTGGGTACTCCGTATCTACCAACCCGGCTAATGAGCCAAACATTCACTTTTCGTCCTCTAAATCTCGTAAAAAACACCTACGACGGGAGAACGAAGTGAGTAGAACTTCCTTGGGAGTGGCTGTATATATTTTTGAATTAATTGAACTGAATATTACTTAAGATTAATTGATTTAGTATATTAATAAAAATTTACAATACTGTGAAATGAAATGGCTATAACCAACAGAGATTAAGCGTTTGCATGAGAGATCGAGGGATATGAATCCGATTCTTGCGTGTGGGATCGTGGATGCACACTGTTAAGGAGTCCCATACTAGGATGGAATGGCCGCCTAGTGCTTCCAGGTCTTCAATGGTGATCTAACTTGGATCGATTCGTGATTTCAAAGAAATTCAATAACACCATGCTGAAGATACAAATATAGTTATGAAACTATTCCTTCTTAAAACGTGACTACATAAAATACCTGACTGAAAAAAATATACTCATACACTAATATACGAACTACTTGTACATCAAATTCAATAACCTATCCAATACAGCTGAAAAAACGTAACAAAACAAAGACTAAAGTATTATTTTTACAAATGATAAATCATGGATGGAAAGAAAAACTAGGTAGACAATAAAAATAACACGTCCGTGAGCTAACCATATCATTTCTAATTCTAACTTCGATAACAATGGACAAAACTCATTCCTTGCCCGTTAACTCCAGAAAGAATTTCAAACTTGCTTTGTAGCATTATGGAATACAGAGATCTAAAATCATCACAATTGGTATTAAAACTCATTTCATTGTGTAAAGATTAAATTCAACGATTCTGAGTTAAAGAAAATGTCATACTGAATAAGCTTTACATAAAAATGAATGCAAATAAATAGTATATTGAATAAACGAAAAATTAGATTGAATTTCATGCAGAACAAAAAACACATTGAATTCATACAAAAAGTCAGCTGAATGAAAATTACATGTAAATCAATACATTTACTTCCACCCTACTTAATTATATATGAAGATTAAACAACCTCAACAAACAGAGGTACTGATTCAACGAAGAAAAAAAAATGCTTACTTACCGTCTTGGCATAATCAAATGTAAACGTCTCCATAAAAGTTCCATAGAATGTACAAATTTACGATTGACGCCTAAAAATCCACCATTACCTTGTAATAATAGTAGTCTTGGACATTGTTCAGCTAAGATTGGACCAAAATTTAATAAACAATCTAAACCGAATATCTCTATTGATTGTATCAATTGATTAATCATATAAATAAGATTTTTCCATAATGGACATATTTCAGATAGATTATTCAATGTTGTTGGCTGTTCAATAGATATTGATAGCTTTGAAATTACTTGTTCAAATGCTAGATAAATATTATTATTTATATGTTTGGTAAACACAAAAGAGTAAAACAAAAAGAAAAACATTAGAGTCAAATAAAGGCCAATTATTATAAGTGCAACCATGTTTTAGCAAGACAACTAACCAATAAGATTACTGTTCTATACGGACATTGAATAAACCAGTCAGTCAGATAACTAACGTTAAGTCAAGCACAAATTTGCGTTGACCCACCGTTTATTTATTTATTTACTTTAACACATAGATATTGGTACAAGGACACACTAAATACATATGCGCCACACAGATCTCATCCGATATGTGTGAGGGCTGTGATACTGCTCGGGTGCCCACCGTGACATAATACATTAGAACGACAAGATGAAATTGACAAAGTAAAAAAACATAACATATAGTAATGACAATGAGAATATAGTTCTAAACGCAAAAATCAAAAGGTAAATCTAGATCAGTGAATAACTGTGGTCTGACATCTATATTTGAGTGAATACGACACTTGTCAAAGAACATCTCTTAAGCAAATCTCCATAGCCAACAATTAAGAGTTTACAACATCAAAATATATATATATATATATCTATATTTGTTATACATAATTTTAAATAATCAGTACAGTACAAGCAAAACTGAGATTCTTTAGTAGGGTAAACATAAAATTTGACAACACAATTGTCAAATAAAGTTCACTTCCACAATACTTTTATTATACAGGAAAAATAATCAACAATATACAGTCTATAGAATGTATCTACTATTCTATTTATTTATTTAAAAAGAAAATATAGATGCATAAATATAGAACATGACCTTGACAAATACATGTCATTTTGCCTACTCTACACGAAGTTTAAAACCTTTGTAAACGTGTGTAAATTTATACAGTGAAACCGAGGAAACACGAAATAACGGTTATATATATATATCCATTATATTACAAAATCAACAGAGCAAGAAAAAGGGAAAAAAGAAGGAATGTTTCATATTATTGACCTGATATACAGGAAGGAATAACAATAAGTGGCCCATAATCGCATATAAAGGTATTTAGGGATTAGAAATAAACTAAATAAAAATTGATCAAGTGAATGGACACTATTGTACACGATAATCAGTGTTAAATAGCGTGTTTTACATCAAACTGATTGATGCTTCTAAGAAGCGTTGAATTGGAAATTGAAGAAATTTTTCACTAAGTAAGTGACTACAATAAATTAGAATTTAGGTTTAAGTATTTATTCTTTTTTTGATAATGATCGCTATCAAATGAGATCAAATGTTGATCAGTTAGCCTGAATAAAAACAAAGATGGTTACTAGTAGAGGAATCCACGAAGGGCGTTTCGTCCTACTTTGGGGCTCTTCAGTCGAATGCACCTGCATTCCAGAGTTGATGTTCGTTTTGAGACAAGAAACCGGTACCGTTCGCTTCAAACTCCATCGTGTTATAAGCTTAGCTACTGAGTCCACATACCCACTAGCTTGTGCAATGGGGTGGTTTAATTCATTTTTGTGTTGGTTATTTGAATCTTCTTATTGATGTTTAGGACCACAATTGATCTGTCTCTTATTGGCAAATGTGCATCCTATGCGGATTGCCACAATATTGTCTTAATTCACAAGTAATATAGGCAGAGTTGATTAATTGAAGTCCTAAATATCAATAAAAAGATTCAAACAACCAATATAAAAATGAAAAAAATTTTTTACCTAAAAGTCAAAATGAATGATTTTCTTTATTTGACGACAGATTATTTTACTGTCGATACTACTCAATCGTAGATTACAAAAAATGTCGTTTTATTTTGCTTCAATCAATTAATGAACTGGTGAAATGACTCAGTAGAATGTATTTCAACAAACTCAATGAGTGAAAGCTTATTATTTACTAAACTAGTTTAACTTTTTTCAGTCATTTCTATACTGTCAACATTCACATTGCTAACTTCATGGTGCCATTTTACTTCTATAAAAACCGCAGAGAGAGAGAGAGAGGTCGTGTGAACCTATGCATTGCATTTTTCATTGAACAAAGATTCATGTAATGTACTATCAGTTATAAAACTTTCCAAGATGAAATATACCAGATATTATCAATCTCTACATCAGTCAGTTACAACGCAGGACCAGGCACATATGTGCATCGGTTCAAGTTGCCATACCTCATTAACACAACAAGATGAACACCAAATTCATAGAAGTAGTTAATTCAGTGGTAGTAATATATAAAAGAAAGATCGCATATAAGGACATAGTACAGGAAACAAAGAATTAGTTCGTACAAAGAAAAATATGAAATAATTTTAATTTCACCGTTTAGGGGAAGGCAAAGAGTGTATACGTCTACTCTATTGTGATCGATTCTGAGCCATTTCATCCACTGTCTTTAACCATTGTTTACGATAGTCACTCAGACCCCAATCAAGTAGTCTGCATCTAACAACATTGCTCACATTAAAAATTAGTGACTTAAAGCACTGATGTCACATTTTGAGTTGGTCACCCCTAACTTTTTTCCAACTATTCCCAACACTAGTCAGCATTGTGCAATCTCTACATATTAAAATAAAATTAATTTAAAATATGTCAATATCCATACGAAAATTCATTGTTATATGGTTACATCTATAGTTGATTATGTTTTAATAAAGGACCAAATGTTGACAAAGTCAAATAAGTTGGAATAATTCTTGTAATGACAATAATATTGACTAGATTTTATTTTTCTTACAGTCAATAAAAAACTTATTTTACTTAACGACGAATTACAATTTAATAATTTGTTTTATAAATAAAAGATTTCCCTAATGAATAAGCATAATTATATTCATATATATATAGAGAGTGAAAGATTTATAGAAACAGAACACACGCCTACCATTTATAAGTGATGTGATACAAGAAAAGGGGAAGAGTACCTAAGCATATCACAATAAGTGATAAGTAAACTTGATAATTAAGTAAAGAAAAAAAGAAGAACAAATAAAAACAGTTTATACATAACATGAATTGCAATTAACATTACTACACTTTGAACTCTATGCTAGAATTTGTAATTTTCCGTTGTTAATATTAAAAACTATTTTTCTGATCATTTTCTGTTGTTATATTTGTATCTTAAGCAGTTCGAATGACATTTCAGAGTGAATATCGACAATAGGGTGGACATATATCCAGCCAACGAGTTTTAAATTGGATGAAATAGATGTTCTAGATCCTACAGCTGACTACATACTTGAATATACTATGGCATAAGTTGATTTTTAAAAAAAAACTAGTCAGCTCGTATACGGTCGTTAATGTATGGTGCTTTCGAACTAGGACCAAAAATATCTGTTCACTGACTTATAGACTTTGATGATTCTCCTATTGATGTTAGTTAGTTATTAAAATTATAATCATTTAATAGAAACTAAATAAAAGCTTTAAGATTGTAATATATTTCATTAATTTATGTATATAAAACTTACAATAGTTTGTATGATTATACAACTGATAGAATTAATGTTGTATCATTTAATGTAATTATTTACAAGATATATTGATGAATATTTCTAAGAGTTAACGAATAGACTATACTCCTAGGCTAGTCACCACACTCAGAAATGCATTGCACCGATGAGTTATTGTCAACCACTTAAACCACTTAAAAATGCACCACAAACCTATTCACCAGTGAATGAACGGTTATAATTGTTCTTCGTGATTTTCTGAGAACCTTGAGTAATTTGAAAGTGATATCCATATCCTGGATTGGTGTCAACTAAGTTGCCAATGTATATGATAAGCGCTTACTAAATCCTAATTTGGAGCTATTTAACAGTCCGTAACAATGATGATTTTCAGTTAGTCGGTTACATACAACGCAGAAGCTGTCACATTAATGCATCGGTTCTAGAGGAAAGACAAAGAGTAGATGTATTTACATCATCGTGAACTATTCGGAACCATGTTATATAATGTCTCCAGCTATTGATTATGATAACCGTGTGGATCTGACCAACATGATTCAGATCAACGGTTAATGATCTTGTGTACTGATGATACGTTTTAGTTTAACCGCATCTAGAATTCTTCCAATATACACTTACACCAGAAGACATCGCCTGTCAAGTTGAGGGATGGATAAGCATACGCTATATATGTTCTAACAGTTCACCAGTCGATTTCAGCTATTGACGAGAACTACTTTTTAAGTACATTTAGTCTCCAATACACAGCTACTGAGCTTACTTCATTACAATAACTTGAAGTTGAATAAATCAATTAAAAATAGCTCTCATACTAAAATAACAGCAAGAGATATCATATATGTCAACTAAGAAGTCACAAGAAAAAATTGAGAAACATTTATGAAAATGAATATAATTATTATACTAGAAAATAAGTAATCAAATTGATTTGAGGGCTGGATTTCTAATGATTCCGAAAAAACAACTACAACGTATACCATGTTTCGTAGCATTACTATTAAGTGAATCACGGAATGGCTGCGATAGTCCATAATTCAATTATCATCATGAATTTTAGTACTCAAATGTGATTCGATTTGAAACAAACAGTCAGAAATTCCAACATCTAGGTTTCAAAACATATAAACAATTTGAAGTCACATGAGTAAGTGATTTGAAAAATAAAAAAAACGTCAATAGCAAATGAACGAACTTCCAAATTAGTATTTGTACATTTAACCGGCTAGTTCGATTACGCTGACAAATATCGAAAAATAACCTGTAAAATTTCAGTCAGATAAAAACGCAACCGTTGCAACAACCTTGAGGTGGTGGGCAGGTTTGAGTATTGTGGTGACCTGATAAAGTTATGCTGCCTAGAACACTCGTTCCTTCAGGTCTTATCGAGGTAAGTATGTTGGTTGGGGGGACGTAAGTTTAAAAGCAGGCACTTAAGGATTGAAGCCAACATTGTAGTGGAAACTGTACAGAGGTATGGCACTAATAAGATGTTTCCCTCAGATGACCAATAACATCCCCGAAAATCCTGCCACCTCACAAAAGAAGGAACAGTTTAGAAAAAGTCCCCCCTAATAATTGCAAACCTCACCTTACCCCGCGGATTCCCATTCTCAGTGGTAGGTTTTAAAAAGTAGAGAGATAACACATAGAACTACTCACAAAAGTGGTATGTTTGACTGACCCCAAGAAGTTAGTCCTTGGGGTCTTCTGTTATACTCCTAAGTCATAAGAACCACTCCCTAACTCGGTTTTCTTTCCAGGTATTTTATAAAGAAGTACCTACCCACAATATGATCAACTAAGACAACCAATCTCATACCTCATACAGCATCGAAGACAAAGTTGGAAAATAATGCAAAAAAGGCTAACCTTGATTTAATTGTTCTTCACGGAATGGCAAAGGATAATTCGATTGTTGATAAACAAAATTTGTTTGGTTCGTCATTACTCTCGATGTTATGATTGTTGTTGTATTATTCACCGGTGATAAATTCGTTTCAGCTTTGTTAATACAAAGAACACGAATAGGTTCGTGTTCAGATCTCCATATTGAATCAAGTAATAATTCATCTTGTATCATCATTTCACCCATAGTTAAATGCGGAAAATGATTTGTAACCAATCTGGACAAACAAATATATATAAATTAAGAGATATAACATGGAAGTCTTTATAAAAATAAAACGATCGCCTATTAATGATTGGTACAAGGTATCAAATAGATATGCACAGCACAAATCATTCGATTTGTGTAAAGGCTGGGATACTGCCCAGGCGCTCAAACCGAAGCAGGGATGGTCTTAAACATCGTTGGATTCCGGTCAAGTGGTCTAGAGGTTAAGTATTCACACGAGACCGAAGGTCTTAGGTTCCAGTTCCATGTGAGAAATCGTGGATTCGCAATGCTGGAGAGTTCCCAACAAGGTCGAAATGGACGTCCATTGCCTCTAGGTCTTCAATGGTGGTCTAACATTGATCAAGGATAGATCATTTGGTGTAATGAAAGACAAAAGTCATTTATCTTTTAATTTTATGCAAAAACTTGTGTAGTTTTTTTTATCGCAAGTTGATTTATTCTTCCATACTGTTTTTATCTTTAAAAGAGGGTATAAAAGATATTTCTGAATCACTGAAATAACCATTACAAAGTTGACTAGAGTTATACAGCAATCTGGATTGAAATAAATAAATCGTTTATTCAGAAAAACATATATACTTTAATGGCATAAACTAGAATAAATCGTTCAGGCACACAAATACAATTCCTTCTTTACACGGATGAAAAGTTCATTTTGACATTTGTTTCGGATGGTTTGTTATATCAACACTTATTCATCTTCAGTGAATTTCTTTGGAATGTAACGAACGAATCTGTTGAAGGACTACATTGTTTTATTAAATCAGTTAGTGAGATTTTTTCTCTTCACAATTCCACTAATAATATTAAAAACAACAATGTAGGTTTCGATAACCATTGTAGGGGATGAGAACACCAGTGGGGAAAACCAAATGTATTTTAACAGAAATCTACAGAACCTATTACAAAAATCTGAGAACCATACAGTAATAATTCATTCGCAAAATGTCTATCAATTGTCCCAGACCTTGTTGTTCCTTCTTTTCCCTACCGATCATTCTCTGTTCCCGTTCTCTTCTCTTCGATTTTCTCAACCTTCTGACATCAGGCGTTACACTTTCAATTGGTGATACACACTACTTATATCTGTCTACATCAGTAGCACACACCATACCATGAATCCAATAAATAACTTATGACAAACAAATAAATGATGTACTATATATGAAAATTTAATGGATTATAAGTTCAAATTGTCAATAGAATGTGACATATCGATCAGGAAGTAAAATGAAATATGTGACCAGAACATAACTAATTAATCATAAAATTGTATGTAGACGAAAATTTAATATAACACTTTTTCACCACAATTATTATCACTGTGCGAATATAAATTGTTGACATACTGGATTATGACAAATATATTATACCTGACTGATTAATAATAAGTTAATATTTCTTCTCCTGATTATCTAGAATCTCTTGGCATCTGTAATTTAAACAAATGTGAATAAATCAACAGAATTCCAGATAATCATTTGTCCTTACCTAACTTAAGATGTAGTTCTCTATATGGGTGAAAGTGCCTACTTATAAATGGTTAAACAACAATTATCATTCACTTAGAGGGACAGTTATGTTTTGATAATCAGAAGGAATTTTTGCAACGGGAAAATCATCAACTTAATTGTATAGGACTAAAAATTCACAAGAAAATTAAAATAAATAATACTCAAATTGTTCATTCAAGAATCTCTTGTAAAAAAGTTGCGTCCATAGGTATACACTGAAGACTAAGATTCTAAACGATGATTGTTGAATGTGGAGAATCAATATCATCATTGTTCCATATGAATGAGAGAGCTTTATTGTTACTAAATATATTTTTTCAAGATCAGAAACAAACGAAAGCATATAAATGATAAATGAGATTCAGCGATTTAGAAAATACTTTGGATTGTAACTTGATCGATACCTTTCAGTCAGCATTAGGAATGACGTCAGTCGACACTCAGTGATTAATCAGTTGCAAACAACTCAGTCCTATAGGAGGTCAGTCGGGACCTAAATAGCTCAGTGGTAAATCCTCAGAATGTTAAGCTGAGTAACCCAAGTTTGAATCATACAGGGAGCATCAGTTTCCTCAAGATCGCGAGTACACCGTTCCGATGAGTGTCGACTAACACAAAACCTAGGTCAAACAGGTTCTCCTAGCGACCACATCTGACAAGAAATTTTAATAAAGCATATATATATATATATATATATATATATATATATATATATATGCTTCGTAATCTGATAAAAGGATTAAGAAATGTTTGCATCCATTTATGTTAATTTTTTTATTCGTTTTCCGTTCAGAAATTGATCCATTATTTAGAAAGAACTGATAATAAATATGAGAGAAATTCGAGTGAACATAAGTTGGTCTTATTACACACACACACAAATCAACGCAAAAACACGCACACAATCACAAAATCATCGAACAGAATAAAATGCATTAAGCAATTATCATTACACTCAAGAAGCATAAAAAATATTGGATAAAGAGATGTTAAAAAGAAGGACGCAATCATCAGGAGACAAAGACTGTTGATGACCTCTATTTTTATCAGTATAGGATTGTGGAGATTTTTAAGTTTTGATTCAAATCATGAACCGATTAATGTTAGACCACCGTTGAAAACCTGAAAGCAATAGACGGCCGTTTCGTCCTGGTGCGGGACTTCTCAGAGGTGCACAACCACAATTCCATATACGGGACTCGAACCCAGGGAATTCGGTTTAGAGTTAGAGCACTGGGTCTTTAAACCACTGAGCTATCATCCAGCTGTGTTAATGTCTAACCAATCTAATTCTACTACTTTTGGTTACCAAGATAGCATTAACAACAACAGCACAACTATTGCCTAATGAAGGAACTTCAAAGTACTCTATTGGTAAAGGAATACGTGGATAATAAGCCTAGAAACGATAGTGATAATTATGATCGTAACAACAATAATATGGAAGAAGTAACATTATCCAAACATCCGCTTATTTATAGATTAAACATTACAAATAATCCAAGACAGATTACGTAATACTCACTTCAAAATCTAGACTAATTTGGTAAAGCTAAGAAGTAATAAATAAGATATTAGAAATAATGACTAAAGGTTATAGTACGTTTAGAAAACATACCAATAACACTGATATCTATAAAAGATGGTTTAGTCTAGCTAGCTACGAATTAGCTAATTTGTCATCGTTCTTATCAATTTCTTTCAGTAAATCAAGCAAAATCGAATTATTAATAGGAAAGAGGAAATAGGTTTAAGATAAAAATAACTTACTGTAATAATTTTGGATATAGAGAGCGATAATCTGATAAATGTGCACGAGCATATCGTAAAAGATATGTTATAGGTATAATATCCCATAGTTTATTGGAATAAACACATGATGGTTCATTAAGTAAACGATCTGTGTTAATAATAAATATATGAATATAAGCACAGCAAATAGAAAAAAAAAAGAAAACGAATTAAAACAATGGATTTTGTTGAACTCAGGATGGTTGTTTTTCTTAGTATAGAAATACTCAACAGTGTGAACCCACGACCACACAGGAGATCGAATCGAGAAACTTCAGGTATCGCGACATGTTATTAGCTTTTAAACCACTAGGTCTACAAATCCAACGGTTTACATGGCTAATTTCAATCAATTCGCGGTATTGAACTACCATTTCCTAAAGTTATGGCAGAATAAATGACTCGTACCGGACATTTTTGAGCCACTTTGGCCACATTTTCACACCAAAACTCCAGGAACTACCTCTCCAGACTAATTATTTGTGAACACTTGATCATCATTATTATAAGGAATCACATAATAAGACGAAGCAGTCGGCCAGTGTTTCCAATGGTTGTCTAATTAAGATAAATAAACTACGATAAAACTCGATCAATAATTTATACGATAGTCAGTAATATGTCACTTTTAATGTTTGTATTCGACCCTGAATAGTATTGTTTATGTAAGAACTAGTAGCTGAAGTATGAATACAGATCGAAAATAAAATCTATCAGTTTGGATTGTTAAGCAAACTCTTTTATATCAGATATATTTACTTTGGAAAAAAACATTTATGTCAAATGAACAATTTTTGCACATAGTTACTGTATGATAAGTGTTATCGACTAGTTTAACCCTGACGAAAAAGTCAAAATTGAATACAAAAACAACCCTAAATCTACAAATAGTTTTGTGGTTTTTACTGAAACATATGTTTATGAGGTCTTGACTTACAAATTCAACAATGAATATTGTGCAGTACACGATATAACCTTAAAAGACATGTTAATACCTTCTCGAGGCGCTGTTGTCTACGAAATTGAGAATACGAAAAACGAACGCACGACTCTTTAACCGGGTCGGTGGACACTGAGAGTACAACTAGGGGAGTTGGAAAACCCTGATTCCAAACCAATGGTGTATATGGGCACCAGGATCACAAAGAAAAAAATGGCGTATGAACCTATTGTTGGTCACCTGCAAATATGGGACTGCATCTCCTTACGTTGCTCAACTGCCTTGTGGATTAGACCATTAGGTCGAAGGCTCGGGGTGTGGAGATAGGCACGACAAACTTATTTTGTAAATAGTTTTTGATATTATTTGCACTTATTTTATTAATTTTCACAGTTTGTACATTTACCACAAAATGACTGCATGTGTTGTTTAAGTGTATGACCCTGAACTCACATTCTTTCGTTTTGTATTACTCATAGCATGACACATGTTGTTAACTGCTTGTAAATATACTACTATATACATGTTTCTCGTTCTCCACTGCCTGTAGTTACGCTCGAGGGCTACAAAATATGCTCACGTAGTTGGCGCAGTCCCCATAGTAATCGCTGCCGAGTTCGGGGATCAAATTGGCCAAGTGCCAGAAAGAGAGCCATATGACAAAATAAAAGCCGCTGTTATACAACGCACGTCAGTCTCCGACGAAAAAAGATTACAATAATTGTTAAGGTCATGTGAATTAGGAGACAAAAGACCATCGCAACTGTTAAGGCATATGAAATAATTAGCAAGGCCATACAAACTAGGAGAACCTCTAGTAAAACAAATGTCGTTCCAGCGTCTATCACATAACGTAAGACAAATTCTTAGCCTATCAGGACATTCAGTTACTTTAGAGGAGTTAGCAGATATGGCCGATAAAATGATAGAAATCTATCCGGATAATCATAGTTTAAACTCAGTATAAACTACAGCACCAACGGATAAAGTTAGTACAGTCATGTTCCAACAACAACTAACGGAACACCACATTACTACTACTGGTCCACCTATATACGCTAAGTCGAGAAGACTACCACCACACAAATAACCGATTGCAAAGAGAGAATTCGAACATATGATGCAACTAGGCATCATCAGGCAGTCTAGTAGCCCATGGGCTTCGCCTTTACACATGGTTCCCAAGAAACATCAGGACTGACGCCCATGTGGAGATTATCGATGTTTAAATAATCAAACTACTCCAGATAGATATCCAATTCCTCATCTACACGACTTTTCTTAGGATCTACACGGAAAGCAAATTTTTTCGAAACTAGACCTTGTGAGAGCATATCATCAAATTCCGAAGGCACCGGAAGATATTGAAAAAAAAAACAATTATCACACCTTTTGGTTTGTTTGAATTCTTAAGTACTGCAACGAGTCAACGACATAAGTCTGAGAATTTGAGGCGCTTTAGTGCAAAATAAATAGCTAGTAGTTCCCGTCCGAGTTTACTGTGACATTTCTGTGCAGGCGACAGTCGTTTGGAGAAAAATGCTATAGGTTTAAATAATGTCATTGACTCGTTGTTGCAGTACTTCGGAATTTGATGATATGCTCTCACAAGGTCTAGTTTCGAAAAAATTTGCTTTCCGTGTAGATCCTAAGAAAAGTCGTGTAGATGAGGAATTGGATATCTATCTGGAGTAGTTTGATTATTTAAACATCGATATTCTCTACATGGGCGTCAGTCCTGATGTTTCTTGGGAACCATGTGTAAAGGCGAAGCCCATGGGCTACTAGACTGCCTGATGATGCCTAGTTGCATCATATGTTCGAATTCTCTCTTTGCAATCGGTTATTTGTGTGGTGGTAGTCTTCTCGACTTAGCGTATATAGGTGGACCAGTAGTAGTAATGTGGTGTTGGACATGGTGTAAGGTGCAATCATTTTGATAATCAACTCTTGTGATGCATTCGTACTTCGACAAGACGTCGGTGAAAGCTTTGTTCACTGGTTTTATTATTCCAACACCTTGAATCTCGCAGTTGGTAGTGATTGTACCAATCACCTGTAAACGTGTATTTTTGTTGATCAGCTTCTTTTTATTCATGTCTACTAGCAGGTCGTAGGCGCTGAGAAAGTCGGCTCCGAGAATAGGTTGTTTGACCTAGGCAACTATAAAAACTCGGAGTTCGAGGTCTAAAATGAGAGATTGCTCTCTATAGGTTTTGATGACCGTTTCGTTGGCCGCGATAAGTGACAATTTTGTACTCATGGTGTGCCGTCGTCGTGAAAGTTGAAGTGGGATTATGCTGATTTCTATTCCTGTTTCGACCAAACAAATCTGAGCCAGAAATACAGTCCCGGATATAAAAAAGACGGCTAGTGTTGTGGCCAGCAACAGGCGCCGCCATTACTGTCTGGCCGGCACGTTTTCCGATTTCTCGTTATTGGTTGGTGTAAACGCGCACGGTCGTGTGCAACGCCGTGCTTTTGTGACGCATTTTCAGTGGTACCAACAGATCCCGGTGGCTTGTTTAGGTGATCGAGAACGCTGCCTTGAAAAGGATCTTTGCCTAGCCGATGATCTGTATCGATTGGTTTGTACCGTGGCTATTGTCGCTTGTAATTCTGCTAGTTGGTTTGCCAGTTCCGTTAGTTGTTATTGTTGTTGTTGGGACATGGCTGTACTACCTTTATCCGTTGGTGCTGCAGTTTGTACTGAGTTTAAACTATGATTATCCGGATGGATTTCCATCATTTTATCGGCCATATCTGCCAACCCACAGATTAATCCCAAAAAAAACGGAGACGCTAGATTCATCCACCAGGGTACTGAGTTATGCAAAAGTCGCCAGTTGTTCCCTTTCTAAATTCTGCCTTGAACTAAATAACTTGCATTCACAGTTCTCAACAGATTCTAGAGGATATCTAAGTGAAGTAATAAAATGTATAAACTACATCACCAAATGAATGTCATACATAAACTATACATATTTAAATTGTAGTTTGCGTCGGTAATAAAAAACCAGTAAAAATTTCATTGCATAATCAATGGAAGCAGTAATGTAGCATAATGTCACATTTTCATAAACTTACGTCGATTAGATGTTAAACGTAAATTGAACTGATAATCGAAAACAAAAAATGCATAATATAGAAATAATAATTGCGGAGTAAAATCTTGTTCTGTAGTTGAAATATATAAACGATTTACAGATTTATGATTAATTTTCGATTGTAAATGAATCCCTGGTGCACAAAATTGAATCAAATTAGAAGATTTAGAATTTGTGAATTCATTGATTAATTCCTGTTCGGAAATTAATGATAAGTTGATATAAGCTGTTGAAGCAGTAGGATTGGTAGTAATAGTACTGCTACTAATACTATTAGTAATACTAGGAATATCACTATTCAATGACGATGAATTGTTAGAATTGGAAGTAAACGAATGCGTAATATGTGCTTCTAATAATTCTGGTAACAATGGATGAATTGGACGTACACTTTCACGTATCTGTCCAATAATCCATTTCTACAATGAAAAATAAATAGATAAAATTTGAAATTACACCCAAGTTATTACATTAGTGACAGAGATATTCGCATTAACAAAAATCAATGAACAGTAGAACAAGCTTATTTAAATACTGGTGAAAATATGCGTGTTATTACATACGAATGCCCAAGATACTTCAATGAATTAGCAACTTCGCTAGTGAGTTCACATTCCAGATATTATTATTATTATTATTATTATCAGCTTTATTCAATATTATATTTTTGGTACAATATAGAATTCTCAGCGTAAAGTATTTCAACAAGTTTCCGTTTCTTTCTTCTTGGTCGGTCCTGGCGATAAATATTGAATGATCGCCAGTTAGATGTTAGCAGTTCACTAAATGAACATCTGAATAATGTGCATTCTTTTCGTTGTATATTGCCAGCAACCACATTGTCTCTTATTGAGTTCTTTGTAACTTTGACAACGAAAGGTTGTACACTTTTCAGAAACGCAGCAGAATAGGTTATGCGATTAATAAACATAATGATATAGTAAAACAAACAAAAATAGATAACTTGTTGAAATATCTAGATGGCAGGAACAGGTAGCCCAGATGCTCAAGCAGGCCGCCTTTGGGAATCAAAGCTTACGGTGAAGTTTCATGAGAACAAAAAAATTTAAGTGCTTCTGTGGAGGCTGCCCATTGTCCTAATATGCTTATTCAACATCGTCATGGAAAAACCTTTAAGAAGAATAAGTTCTTTGCTTGACTTAAAGGATTTATCTCCTATAGACTTAGAACACACAAATATTACAATCCAGTTTGGTGAAAACTGAAAAATATAGTCTAACGATCGTATTAACTAACAGTCTAGGCATATCTTATTCTATGACTGTAAAATGCTGCTTCAAGACTGATCCACAACAAAGCCTAAATTAATGATAGGGAGTGAAGTGGATGAACAAACAGACCGCTTTAGTTATTTCTAGAGTTTCACTAGTTCTGGTACATTGATGTCTGACGACATTTCGGCACGAATTCAGAAAGCATGTTGTAGATGAGATGCCTATCTAACTAAAGAACGAGTATACAAGCCAGTAGTTCGTCTCGATCTGCTTTATGGCTGCGAAACATGGTCTTTAAAAATAGAGGGTATACGTAGGTTACCAGTATTTGATTATAAGTATCTTCAAAGCATTGTTCCGGTAATATTGGGACCATCAAACGTAGAAAATTGGTTCTGATTTTCTGCTTCAGTAATCATAACTGTGCTACATTCTGAATTTCGACTTGGATAACTTCATATCAATTCATAATGAAATCTACTTACAAACTATACGAACTAAACATAAAATCATGTAACTTAACCATTATCTATGTAAAATTTAAAAATTTGGCAAGTGTCCAATGAATCTAATTGTAATTATTTAGTTAATAAAAGAAAATGAACAAAAACAAGACATTTATCAATGTATAACAATATCAGTATCTGAAATTAAACACGCCAGAGTTGTCTTGGCAGGGTCTTTTTTTTAAATAAAAGATATCAAAAAAATAGAGAGATATAGATAAATAAATAAATAGATATATCTTACCTTAGTATGTAGTTTATTTTTAGCAAATGCATGCGATTTAAGTAATTGTAGCATACATTGAGTTGGTAAGTGACCAACTAAATGTCGACTCAATTTTGGCGTAATTGGAATTCGTGCAACTTGATTAGCAATCATCTGCATAAATATATTTTTTTAACGAAAACATAAAACACGATATAGAAGCACAACCGTTTTTCTTAAAAAGATCTTTAATGAATACTTCATCCAACTGATTAATTACATAAAATGTGTATCCATTTTCATAAGAGCTGATATGAAACTTGGTTTATTACGATATATATTGAAATTGTGTATAACATTGTTAATACTTAAAAACTATAAGTAAATTAACAATTTCTATAATATCCACAAAAACCCTTTCGATATGAATTAATATATGCTCACTAGTGACTGACTTCAAGAGGTATTTCCTGAAGTTCTAGTGAGAAGCAGTGACCAGCGGAGCTCAACCGGGCCAATTGTGAGATAGTAACTCACTGAAGACAATGATGGATGTGTCGCTCAATTTGGTGGATTGATTGAAGTTAGACACTAACACTGTTGGATACCGGCTCAGTGGTCTAGTGGTTAAGCGCTCGCGTGTGATACTAATAGGTCCTAGGTTCGATTGTGGATGCGCACTGTTGAGGAGTGCCACAGTAGGACGAAACGGCCATCCAGTGCTTCCAGGTTTCCTATGGTGGTCTAGCTTCAATCGGTTCATGGTCTCAACCATTGAAATTACCATAATATCCGCAAAAACCCTCCTGATATGAATTAGATATATATTAAACATTCAGTGACAGGTTAGATAGTTGAGTGGTAAGAAATTTGAATAAAGTTATTGAAGATGCAGGTTTAGATATTTCTGGAATATCATTTCGTTCAAGATAGTAAAAATACTCCTTATTGATTAACGTAGACTACAATAACAGAAAAAATTTCCTAAATTATTCTTTTTAGTTAACTGCTGAGTTCCAATGAATGAGAACGTAAAGAACATAAAAAAATATGAACTTCTCAGCTAAAGAGTTTCCCGATCCTATAAAAACCTTTAGAGGTGGCAAAGAGTTGATATGACTAAAATGAAAGAGGTAAATTCGATAGTCAGATAAAATTAGGTTAATGAATCTGAAGTTTTATATGACGGAGTGACTAAACTTAGTCAGAAAACTACTGAAAACCAAGAAGCATTAGACAGCTATTTCATTCTGGTGAAGGATTCCTCATCAATGCCAACTCCAATGTCTGAGGGCATAGTTGTCTAATCAAAGCCAGTCTGTGATTTGAAATTGGATTCGCCGTGAATAAATATTATCAGATCGAAGTAATGTTTCCTATTATTAATTTTAATCCATTTTACACACATTGATTACTTTAATCAATGTAATAAATAATCCCATGTTTTTTAGATGACACTGATGTTTTTTTTGTCATGTCACATCTACATTCATTAGCTTGCATAGACAAAAATTTGGTACAGATAATACATATTTCCCCTCTTTAGATACAACATAATCTAATGACTTATTTTTTTAGACCAAACAAAATAGTCAAGTGTTTACACGCAAGTTATCTTACACCTTCAGACTTCATCTAGGTTATTATCTTCAAGCTATTTAAGTCCAAACAGGTAACCACCTAGTGTATTGAACAAAATAAATAATGTGTTTCTTTAAACAATAGTATGTATGGATTGTTAATGTATTATGATGATAATGATTTAAACAAAACTTACATTTTCTGTAAAAACAGTTTGGAAAAATAATTTACGCCATCCATTGATAGTTCGTCCAAGTGATGGTATACGTAGACCAAGTAAAGTTGATATTAGTTCAGTAATTGGTCCAGGTTGATTTGTATGAAATAAGATAGCTAAAAGCAGTAAAGGTTCAATGTACGATGTTGTTTTTGAAAATTGATTACAATTACGCAGATAAGATGACGATGATGATTGAGTTAGTGAATTGAAAATATCTTGTTCATCTATTAAACGTTGGAGCCAAGTTACAATTGTATTTTCAATATCTGTTGTATTTGCAGGAACACGACTATTATTGTGCATTACGCCATTAGTATCTGAAGATATTCTGCACGTAATAGGGTGAAATCAGTTCAGGATTAGAGTTAAATTGAATACCACGAAGAAATCAATATTTGTAAGTAGAATAAAAGAAAACAAATACTGTTATTATGAATGAGATATATTATGCTTTGACATGATGAGGTAAAACAAGATGACATCATTTAGGTCAACAGTTTTTGTATCGAATTCATTATGAATTTAGACCAAGGTGATATGTGAACTTTTGTTCAGTGACGTTTCCAGGCCAATATTTCTGGTAACAATCCAGTATAAACTTCTATATGACAAATGATAACTTTCCGTTTAGTATGAAGATTAGATTCCCTGTACCTATTCATTTGAACTATATTTAATGTGTGTTACTACAATAACTCTGTATTTTCCCCTATATGTCATATTCTTGTGTGTAAAAATTATAACACAAATGTATTTTGATCTAATCACATGATTTGGGGAGTTTTTGGGGTAATGATTTTTGAAGAGACAATAAATCTTCGTTTACACCAAACTTTAAGTTCACATTTCACGTCGTGCGAATTACAGTTGTTCCTGTCCTCATAGATAGTAGGATCGACCTGGACTGCACTCATTCGTACATTACAATAGTAGAAAGGACTATATACAGACAATGTCATTTGAGAAGAAAGGATTAATTCACGGCATAAAATTTGAGATAAATTTAAAACTCGAAATCTAAGGGAAGACAAAGAGTGAATGTATATTGGCTATTTGAAACTAACTCTAAGCCATATCATCTAACGTCAACTATTTATCACGATAATCAGGGGGATCCCAATTAGTAAGTCTGCATCTGCCTAAAAAACTCAGACAAACATTTAATGACCTTAAGAACTGATCCCATATCTCCTATCCTCTTAAGTCACTGAACATCCTCCCAATGCAGAGTGAAAGTTGCTTATGAACAGTTTCCTTAACAATGCGAGTCTTTGAATGGACTGACTGACTTTGAATAGACTGATATCACATCACCAGGAGAATATGTAACAAAAAGTTATCAGTTGTTGTTTAATAATCAGTCTAATGAATATGGTGCTCTTTTATAGTTAGTGCCATGATATGCTTAAAATCCTTACTACAATGAAACAATAACTTGTTGTAATTTATAAATAAATAACTTACCCTGTTGCCAAACTTGAACGTAACCCAATTAAGAATGCGAGCGAATAACTGATATATTGTAAGCCACGTTCAGAAACAACTGTTCGATGTGTAAGAAGAATCAATAACTTTTGCGACAGTTCTGGTGGGAAACTGAAATAATTTGCAGAAAGATGACAAAATACTACTTTAAATAATGACAATAATATATTTATTATAACTAATAAAAAAGTATTCAAATAACTCACAGTACAGAACCAGTTTACAGTGTGACTTGGTTCTTTTTTTCACCCGTCGCCACTGATAAGTCTTGGGGATTGAACGCTACTTGTCATATCTGGCCATCGCTGATTGTCGTGTCGGAAACACTTATCACTTACACCCAAAACGAGGGACCTCGACAAGTTCCACGATGCGAACGTAAGAGGACAAGGACTGATATAAGTGAGAATTTATTAACCGCCAAAACACGACGAAGACCCTAGTCGAAAATACTTACTTACTTACACCTTTTACTCCCAATATAACATAGGTCGCCGACCAGCATTCTCTAACCCACTCTGTCCTGAGCCTTCTTTTATAGTTCCATCCAATTCTTGTTCATTTTTCTCATGTCTATTTCCATTCCCCGCCGTAATGTGTTCTTTGGTCTTCCTCTTTTCCTTTGGACTTGATGATTCCATGTGAGGGCTTGTCTTGTGACGCAGTTGGGTGCTTTCCTCAATGTGTGTCCTATCCACTTCCAGCGCTTTTTCCTGATTTCTTCCTCCGCTGGGATCTGGTTTGTTCTCGCCCACAGCAGGTTGTTAATGATAGTGTCTGGCCAACGGATTTGAAGTATTTTGCGTAGACAACTGTTAATAAACATTTATATCTCCTAGATGATGGCTTTCGTAGTTCACCACATACAGTAGAACTGTCTTGACATTTGTATTGAAAATTCTGACTTTGGTGTTGATTGACAGTTGTTTTGAGTTCCAAATGTTCTTCAGTTGTAAATATGCTGTTCTTGCTTTTCCGATTCGCGCTTTCACATCTGCATCAGATCCATCATATTCATCAATGATGCTCCCCAGATATGTAACGGTTTTTACATCTTCCAAAGCTTCGTCAAGTGTGATTCGATTGATGAATGCTCTGTTGTATCGAAAATACACTTATTTTGTATATTGATTGTACACACACTTTGATTCATAATTAGGATGAAATCACATATAAAGCATAGTTCATGTCAATTGAATAAAAGAATATCATATATTATACAGAATAAAATATCATACGAGAAAAGAAAACCGAATGATCATCATATTGAATCAGAAAGGAAGTAATACTACACAAAACTTATAATGAGTAAATCAATCGAATTTTGACTTTTCATTCCATCATAGCAAATAGTTATACAGAATGAATGACCATACTGGGAAAATAAAACAAATACTACTACTACTACTACTGAGTAATCAACACATTGAATTACAAAGGACGGAAATAATATTGAATAAAAATCCCATCACAAAGCTTTTGAACATTGAAAATAAATGTGAGACAATTTAAAAAACCTAGTGATCTACCCTGTTAAGTTCAACATTTTTTAATGCTTACAATTATATCTACTGAGATTAGAGATCAAAGGAGAAAGAGGATTGTGTTCAATTCAATAATGACTCACTAATTAGATAATTTTATCAACGGTTCAAATTTACATCATTTAAGCTGGCAACTAGTGTTATTATCAGCTATAACTCCAATATAAAATACAAAGAATACAGATCAGAGTTACAACGGTGCTAATATTTCGATAAACCAAATAAAAAGTCTTCAATAGTCAGTATCTGGTGTCGACCTAGCTACCCATCATCGGTTAAGTGATTTTTAGATGGAATAATGACTGACAGTTAACATGGAAATAGCCAACTATAGAAAAGAATTCATTTCGAAGAAAAAACAAATGGAGATAAATGAGCAACAAATAGATTTGTTTCACAAATCTTTAAATAACCCAAAGACTAGCATACGTCAACACTTGTACACATACAGGATAAGCATCTGTTGGTCATTCTCGACTCCCTGGCTGGGGCCCCAGAGACAGTGTCACAGTAGCTTGACACGTTATCAGATGGCAATCAATGTCCGTAGGTACGGTATGTGCTTTGCACCTTCGAACTGCAAAGTATTTCTACAAGACTGGCAGGATTCTAATCCTGTACTCACCCTGGATGGTGAGCAGATAGAAGTAGTCGAGAGGTTCGTGTATCTAAGTAGCTGCATAAGTGTTGGTGGTGGCGTGAGTGATGAGATCAATGCACGTATAGTGAAAGCCAAAGTAGCTTATGTCAATCTGGACCATCATTGGCGCCTTCGTGATGTTAGTCTGGCCGTAAAAGGTCGGATCTACAACGCGTCGGTGAGAGCAGTTTTGCTCTATGCTTGTGAAACCTGGCCTCTCCGAGTTGAGGACGTTAGACGACTCTCTGTGTTCGATCATCGCTGTCTCCGAAGGATTGCTGACATCCAGTGGCAACACCATGTTAGTAATTCAGAGGGTAGGCATCGTGTGTTCGGGAGCAGAGGCAATAATGCAATTGGTGCCAACATCCTGAAACATCGATTTCAGTGACTTGGACATGTTCTACGAATGTCGTCCCAGAGAATTTCACGTTGTGCATTATTTGTCAACACTGGGACTGGTTGGAAGAAGCGGAGAGGTGGTCAGTGTATGACATGGTGTCGTGATATGAAGGAAAGCTGCAAAGGGCTGGCTTCTGTTGGTCCTTATCGACTCCCTGGCTGGGGTCCTACAGATGGTGCTACACAGTGGCTCAGAATAGAAGCCAGTGGCGACCCTTCTGTAACCTTATTTTACTTTTTTCATAAAAAGTGGCTGTATCTTCCTTAACTGAAAGAATTCTTCTAGTTGTATCCTTCCGTTTCCGTCATTACTATTATTATTATTATTATTATTATTATTATTATTATTATTATTATTACACTACCTTACACTAATCTGTGGTCGTTATTGTCCTTATACGCACCTTACCTTCTTTCTTTTCTTCCTATTCTCATTGTTTTTGTGGCGCATATATACTTGGTGCCCCCTTGTACCAATATTTATGTGTTCAAATAAATAAATAAATAAATAGACGTGACTCAGAATAAAACCAAGTAGTAGTCCTGATGTAATCTTTAGCTTACTTAGTATAATGTAGAGGAACTTCTTGAATGAATAGCTCCTTTTATTATAACAATTACTATTACTATTATTATTTTCACCTCCCATATACTAATTTCGATTCATGTTTGTTCTTTTTTTGATTATACTCACCCCCTTTCTCGATTTCTTCACAATCTCATTTTTATTGTGTGGCGTATATACTATTTTAATATCCTTTTGCACCAATATTTATGTGTTTAAATAAATAAAATTAAACTTTATTGGCAGTATAATTAAATCGTTTGACTTAAAGTTAGCTGTTTGATTTTATCCCCATCCCTTAAGATCGATCTCTCTCTCTGTGTGTGTGACACAACACAAATTAATTAAATAATGTAATTAAATCTTAAATATCGTAAATCAGGATCAAAAATGCGTCTAAAATGGAAAAATAGGTGTCAAAGTACAAAACTAGTTTTCTGTACAACCAGTTTTACTATTCACCAACTCGCTCTACTTTCAAATACGAAGCATACGAAGCAGAATTTATCTCAAAATAAACTAATGTTATAATTCACTTGCAAGGGTTTGAATCTTTCTGTCCTCAGTGTTAAAGTCTGTAATTGATCAGTCTCTTTTAGTATATATGGATCCTGAGTGGATCGCCTTCGCTTTGGAGAATATTTGTGACTGATGGCAATATCCAGGTAGTTTACTCAGGATGAACACATGTTAAAAGCTACTGATCAACTGAATTATGGTTGACACCCGTTGTACAAACCTGTTATTGTTTGGACTAAACAGTTAAGTGGATCACGCATTAACACTTGAAGCGAAGGGCATTGAGTTCAAGTCCTGGAGTGAATATAAACACAAGAATGTGGGTATATCCAGTTGACGAGTCTCGAATAGAGCGAAACAGACGACCTAGATTCCACTGTTAGACACTATCCAACCCCGTCTAAAAACACGAGTATTTACTGAAAATTTAGTCCCGAAAGACATTAAAACAGTTGCAGTTTAACAAATACTTTAACTGAAGAAGTTAAATAATTAAGATTCCGGTTACTATGTAACTATGTCAGTAATGCTAATCAACTAATATATTGATGAGTTTATCAAAAGAATCAGACCACTCTGTTAGTTGAACTAAGATATGCTAGAAATATTGCCATACATCATATAAACAATATGGAACACAACTACGTGAGAGCTTGAAAATATTTGGTACACAATTTCAATCAGCCTTATGCATTCAAATGGAAAATTATGAGGATCAAATTGTTATACAGTTTGTATCCGAAACAACACTTCATATGAAGCATAAAATTAAATAATAACGTCTTACATCATTTTAAGGTAACTGAAAGAAATTAATAAACAACTTGGAAAATATTTACAATTAAAAACTGGTTGAATTTCTAATCAACCAAACAAGAAGATAAAAGTTTCATCCAGACATTTGATAAAAAGTAAATGGAGCAGGAGAAATTTATTTTAATTAGACTTTCTATCAAGGTTCTACATTAATATATACAATCCTGTTTTACCAGAGCAGATCTAGATAGGTTCGCCATTTCGTTTTTTTTTTTTGCTTTCCTTGTTTTTACATAATTGTGACGTGATTTTAATTCATAACTGACTTGTTATCATAGTTATTTAACCAATTTTACAAGCACACAAAATTCAGCAAAGTGATCTCTCTACAACAGACTTATTATCAAGCTGTATAGTCTGGTTTATTTACAAGATTATAAAGATTAATTTCAAGACGACACTTGAACAATGCACAAATATGATACAATTGGAACATTTTAATACTATGTAAAATAGTGTAATTGAAAATATAGGGCTATGTAATTTCTATAGAGTAATCACAAATAAAGAACAAGTGTAAAAGAAATAAGGTAACATTAGATTATCGTGTGAATAGAGTAAAATAACTAAAATGTTTTTTTTCTTGATCGTAAAGGCATTAGAGGGATAGGTAGCAATTAGGAGTCAAATCCAAGTAGATATGAAGAAAATAATTACAGAAAGAGCGGCCTTTGTAAATTAAAACATCAAACAAATAAGAATAAAACAACTAATAATATTCTTCGGTTAAAGCACGGTACAGAAAAAGATGAAACACTTCTCGTAAACACAAATTTCAGGCTTCATATCACGGATGAAAGGAGCTTCTACGATATTAAGGAGTCAGATACGATGAAATCATGGTAGATTTCGAAAGATTATATAAACAAACTAAAGTCGATCAAATCTTCGAAGATGGAGATTCTAACCACACTCCATCCTTCCTTGTAAAGCCAAGCTTGAATATTACCCTCGTATCCATGTTGAAAGGGTGCTGGCTACAACTCAACTACCTTACTCCATGGGTGAACTAGTGGATGAACACGAAGATAAACAGACAGAGGAGTTTACACTCCACAGATATGAAAAATATTCTCCCGCTTGTTAAAGGTTATCGTAGTTTTCTAGTAAAGATGTTTTTTTAATTGTCAAAGGCAAACCATCCTGAAGTATTTGGGATGTGTAATCAACTTTAAATCCCAGATTTATATGAAAATACCTCTTCTTAGACTTATTTGTGGATAGTTACTTTGGTTATTGCGATTATCTCATACCTCTTCCCACTTTAATTACTCGATCAAGCAATCAATATCATTTTCATAATCATCGGGGAATTAATATAACGTACTATTACTCAATATTATCACTTAACTGATGCTAAATTATAATTATTATATATATATATATATATATATATATATATATATATATATATATATATATATATATATATAGCTACGATATAAAGCCAATTAAAAAGAAATCTTTCTTCGCAACATTTATTTTTATTACCAAAAGCCCTAGTTATAGTAAAAGATTTTCAATATAAATTAGTTTGTTTCCAAACAAACAGAATACTACTCATTGAAGAACTTAACATATCCAAGGCATAGTAAGTTTGGCAAATGAATATGGTGAAATAAGAAATATCAAGAATGATTTACCGACAAAAGTATTTCGAAAACCAATCGGTTACTTTTTTAAGAGTGGATTGCGCGAAGCTGAGAGGAAACTTAAATTCCAAATAAATAAATTATACTACCAGGGAGTATTAAGTAGTATATTTGCCGCGCCGAAATAAAAATTAATGAGAACATTACCTTGAACTACACAAATATTTGTTATTCTTTAGCTTATTGCTTAAGCCATGAATTAAAAACAATAGTAGGGGAAATGAAGAAACAACTCACTTGTAATTTATAAAACCACGAAATGCAGCTAACACACGAAGTAATGTTAACGCAGTGAGAATCGTGTTATCATCCAAAGGAATTGCAGAATCACGTGGTATAAGGCAAGAAGTGATTTTTATAAAATGATGGCTTAGCTTATCCAAGTACCATGATGAAGACTGAAAAATTTTATGGTGAAAATAAGCCATATTGAAATCCATGGGTATATTAGAGACAACAGAAATCATTAAATACATGTAATCTGGATCTAAAGAATATCTTATTGTATTTCCGTCTATAAATAACTAATTCCGAATAAATAATCAAACCGTGCACATGCTTACTGATTAAATTTTTTGAAACCTGACATTACAAACACCCAATATTGAGCACAGTTGAAGAATCTTGTTAAAATTCTAATTCAAAATCGAAGTACTTTATGAGTTTAGATATATAATGTTGCACAGTAAAAGGCCGTCAAAAAATATGGTGTGGAAAATGCTAAAAATAAATCAACTTTAACCGCAAACAAACTTTAACAGTGAGTTGCTTATTTACTTACATAATATGCTACCCATGGGTCTTTGGTTTGTTTCATTAGAGCAACTCTTAATTCCATCCCATTTACCTCAATCAGTAATGGATACTAACCGATCTTTTTGTTAAATTTGGAGGATGAAGACGTTCGTCCCAGAATTAATTTTAAAACCAAACTCATAGTTTTCAAATATGTTTACAGATGTCCGCTCTTTTTTTTCCTTTACATGGTCGAGTCAACACAACCGAAGTTTAAGTACTGTATCCATTTTAGCAAGATTTTTTAGGTACACATGAAATACGATTTACGGAAGTAATTGACTATATCTCATATAAACAACCCATTTTTTTCAGTAAAACAGAATTATTTCTACCTTGTAATTACAGTATTTAATTTTATTTGCAATATTATCATCAAATACAATAACCGATTTTATACATCTCAAGGTTACATATCCTTTAACCTTTATGTTAATAAAACACTAATTAGCTGCACTAACATGAAATCACTCCACTGATGGACCTTACTTTACCCAATAATGCAATTAAAAACAAGTTCATTCCTCATTGACAAGCTGTATGTACATTTTCCTAACAATTATACCTTATTGGTTTGTTTCGATGTGAATATTATTTTATATTTGGTAAAAGTCCTGATCGATGAAAACTTATTCTATATACTCATATAAACAAAAGACAACTACGTTTGCATGGACTAGACTCCTTCCAAGTCAACACAAAATTTACAACTTCGCTTTATCAAGTTACCGATTGTAACGACAATTTACCATATAGTGTTGTCACATTGTGCACAATGAGAAGGATATGAGAAAAGGCTTTAATTTTTCCTTCGATGATCTAATGCTCCCAAGGATATAAAACAAAATAACTTGTGATTCAATTTAGTTAACGTGGATACTAACTGCAGCTTAAGCCCAAGAACCCAAGTTCAGAGAAACTAAAATCTTAGAATAAATAGATTGATTTAATGGATTAGCTGTGCATATATAAATCAAGTTTTTTTATAAAGATATCTGCGTTATTAAAAACATAAGTAAGAAACTCGGAGACGCTTACTGGAAGCTTCAGAAAATTGCTCATCCAAGATCGAATGTCTTGTCCACTGTCTAGCAAAATCCTCTTCAAAAAATTCAAGGTATAACCCTCTTTATTGATCAATCCAAAAAGTAAATCCAAAACTAAGCCTGGAAACTGACGGGTGGTAATCTGAAAACAAAAAGTATACGCAGCCACATGTTTCAGTTGCAAGCATCATTCCACAGGTATAAGTAACAAAACTAGATCCAAAGTCCAATATAATTAAACACTTCCAACGTACTGAATGGCGCATCACGAACTGATACGGAATTCTAGATTATAAAGGGAAGTAAGCATAGCTAACAATTGCATAGACACGAGTCTTAGGCACGATGCTAGTCAAACAATCTGTGAACTTAGGTTTTCAAGATCAAATTTCGGGATCTCAGTGAGGTATGTGGTTTTCGAAACTGTGTAATAACAAATATAGAATAAATATAGAACACGAGTCGAATCCTGATAGACAATAAGCAGTACGGAGGAGTATAATTGAGATGAAGAGCATTATATATGACTGACAAACCGTCAGACAATTTAACTAGGTTTTATTATAGGGTATTAAAGCTAAAAGTTCTACAAATGGACTGACAAACTTTAGTTCCAGGAAAGAATAAGGAATATACCTTTAGTAAACTGTGATCGGAGTTTTCCAGAAGAACTACAGATAAATGGGTAAATTCAGTAATTTTTGTTATGATAGGTCGTTAAGCTAAGTTATCAATTACTCGTGAAAATGCACTATTGTTAAGATGGTACGTGAATTGCTTTGCTAAAAAAGAACAACCTCTTATGTTTCTTGAATTTTAACGCTACTTTTGTTAACACAGTAACTTCAAATGCATAATAGTCACCCAGTCTTAATAAAATAGATTATAGGAGTGTAAATTACTTCGAATATCTTAAATGAAAAAACTCACGCAATTCTCCACTACTGTAACGGCATCGTGTGGGTTTAATTTTACCAGGTAAAATAAAACTGTTTGAATACGACATGACAATGAAAATGGGTTTAAATGGGCTCCAACGTTTGACTTGGTATGCGGAATACGCTGGATTCCATCCTTATCTTGCAAATTGTCACCCTGACAGCAGGATCTGAAATACATTAAAGAACAGTTGGAAGACATACTTGGTTGTAAGAGACTTCCCCAGCTTCCATAATTCGTGGACTATAGGCCACCAATCAGAGGGTAAGTTAACTGCCAACTTTAGTAAAATACTGTGATTGACAGTATTACAGTGAGCCAAATAACCACAAAAGAACTTCCCAACTAAGTGGTAATTCGAAAGACCTTGAAGTTATATTTGATATCTATATGAACTAACCATGGAATATAAAACATAAGATAATAAAGACTTCAGTTTCCAGAGCTTCAGCTTCCATGAGTTCGCAACAGCTTTCTAGCGAGCATTTTGGATCTGGCTTCTAAATATAAGAACTAGAATATTCAAATTAACTCACATCGTTGCATAAATGAATGATAAGGAGCATGAGTGTTTTTAACTTCCCCAAAGCATTTTGTGATTCGTAATTTAGAGCGAGGGAAGGAAATGAAGGAATAGAACTACATCGCGTGATCTAATTAAAAACAGCACTTACGACAGAGAATATTCGGTGCATGTTTCTTCCCATAGTATAGGGATTTTCACACTTCTAAGGGAATTCAAAGTGTTGATTAGATTACCCAGAAGATGACGAAGATTATGTGTAATTGAAACTTTTGAAATGCATTGTATCAAGTCACCGGACTGATACAAAACAGGAAAAAGAATGAGAACTTCCTCGGATTTGATATCATCAAAGTCACATGTTAATGACTTTTCGAAAAGCATATTGTAACGAACCTATTTGAGAAGGCCTCTTATATCAAACGTATCCAATGTTCACATCGGTTTTTAATGTACCCAACAGCTTTGTGACAAGCTGTTGTGATCAGAAGCCTTGTTTGCATTAGTTTCTTATTGTTTCATCACAAGCCTGTGTAATTGGTAGTGTTCCATCAGCGATAGTCTTGCCACCTTACTGGTTCCAGTCAGCTCAGTATTAGTTATGTATGGGTTGATGTATTTTGTAATCTGAATGAATTCTTCCCAATCCAATAAACTTCCCAGAATCGGCAGCTATCACATAAACAGGCAGAAGGTTGTTCGTAGCTTGAAAAATAATGGGTAGAAAATGCTAATGCTACGAGAAGACAATCGCTTCAAGTGAATAATAGATATCCACGATTCCGCACCACGCCGGGCTCGAACCCAGGACCTACTGGCTTCGCGCGCGAGCACTTAACCATTAGACCACTGAGCCGGCATCCAACGGTGCTAATGTCTGTGAAATTTCTAAAATCTCCACAAAACCCATTCTGATAATAATAATCAACTGCTCACTAGTGACTGACTTCAGGAAAAACTCCCGAAGTTCTAGTGAGAGGCCGTTACCAGTGGAGTTCAACCAGGTCTGTTGTGAGATAGGAACTCACTGAAGACAATGGTGTACGGTGGCGCAACTTCGTGGATTGGTTGAAGTTAGACATTAACACCGTTGGATGCCGGCTAAGTGGTCTAATGGCTAAGTGCTCGCGCGCGAAGCCAGTAGGTCCTGGGTTCGAGCCCCGCGTGGTGCGGGATCGTGGATGCGCACTGCTGAGGAGCCCCATACTAGGACGAAACGGCCGTCCAGTGCTTCCAGGTTTTCAATGGTGGTCTAGCTTCAACTGACTCATGATTTCAATCTGTGAAATTTCTAAAATCTCCACAAAACCCATTCTGATAAGAATAATAAATAACTAAGTCAGTTGATTGGAAGTGGATACACGACTATAAGGAAGGCATAGATGCACAAAGATGGGCATGAACAGCTTATTTTGTGGATAGTTTTTGATATCATTTGCATTTATTTCGTTAATACTCACAGTTTATACGATTACCATAGATCGGACGTCATAAGAATAATGGCATGTTATAACTTTAACAGTAGGTAGGTGTCATGACAACCATTAGACAGAACTAGTTCAAGTGGAAGACAGTAATCTACGAGTGAGAACGTGTCTATCAAGTATCCTCTTGAGATTTTTTACTGGATGACTATGATCACTTTGACTAGGAGAGCATTTCATATGCAGAGGCAACTCTTAGAAAAAGTAAACGAAAAGCTGTGTTCTCGCGCTTTGATGTACAATGTTTCTGGGGTTCTCTCGAACAGTATGGTAGTGATTTATTTGTAAAATACCCGTTCTGAGGTACGTTGGCGTACTCAATATGTTGTACATCACAATTGGATCGCCTCTTGTTTTCTCATAGCTAAGTGTCTAAAATCCCCGGTCGGCTATTCTTCAACACCCAAATTGTAGTTTGGATCCTACAGTTCTAAACAAATATTACTTGGCCGAAATCCTTTGGTAATCGTCCACGGATTTTCTGGAAATAATTGGTCGTGTCACTTATAATGCCAGTTTATCGTCGAAGGAGATCAGGCTCAAAGTTCGTCGATGTTAACAAAGAATCCCATATTGTCAAGCAAGTGCCTTTTGACGTCCTTAAGGGTCATGGTTCAGACTTAAATAGGGTTAATTATCATGGCAGTGATTCTAGCCTTAATTCGATGTCAGTTGATGTAAAAAATCTTAGTTTAAGGAAGGAGCAAAGGCCTGAGTTACTAGGACAGAGCATGTCGCCTATAGTCCATGTTGTTGGCCCAGAGCTACCTAAGGTTGAACTGAGTTATTTCGATGGAGAGCCAAGAGGTTATTGGAAATTTATAAGGCAATTTGAGACGTATGTAGCATCAAGAGTCACGGATGATAGCCAGCGCTTGCTCTATTTGATACACTACTGTAAGGGCAAGGCTAAAACAGCTATTGAAGGTTGCGTCATGATGGAGGCATCCTCTGGCTATAAAAGAGCAAGGGAGATTTTAAAACGTTTTTTCGGACAGCCTCACGTAATTGCTCGAGAAACACTAGAGGACTTATTCAGTGCTGTGAATTTTGAGTATATTGACGGGGACCAACTATCAAATTTGGCTATTAAGATGGAAAACTGTGCCATGGTCTTGGAGCAGATGAATTATACTTCTGATCTAAATTCCTTAGTTACCTTGGAAAGAATAGTGAGACTCTTGCCTCAACCTATGCAAGCCCAGTGGGCGGACTGGGTGGATAAATTGACTGAAGATAACAGGGAACCGAACTTCGACGAGCTCACTCAGTTTATCGCATCGCGTGCGAGAGTGGCTTGTAGTAGATTTGGACGGTTAGCAAACCGTTCTAGAAAAGGACATAACGTAAAGACGAACTGTCACGTGCAATCAGAGCAAGGGAATAGTTCGACAATGAAAACTAAATGCAGTATGTGCTCCTACGATCATGCCATTGATAAATGTCCACAGTTCTTAGCGCTTACAGTTCAAGACCGATGGTCTCACTCTAAAAGCAAGGGTATCTGTTTCGTCTGTCTTAGACAAGGACATAAGGTTAATGAATGTAAGATGACAAGGCTCTGTAAGGTTGACAGTTGCGAGAGGAGACATCACGCTCTGCTGCACACTGACTCGACAAGCAACATCGTAAATGATAAGCCATCATGCCCGGAATATAGGAAAAGAGTTGTTAATCAAACCAGTAAGATACAGACATTAGAGAACGAAATACGTAAGCCTTATGACGTAGAGTTTTCAGATGCTTATTCAAGTGATAAATCATTATCAGTAGACGACAAGATGGCTATAAAGATTGTGGAAGGTGGCACGCGCTTCGGCAACGGTCATTTTGTAGTTTCTATACCTTGGAAAAAGAATCCAGATATGAAAGTGGATAACTATGAAGTAGCAAACCGTAGATTACAAAGTTTGAAGGGTATGTTGTCGAAGGATGTCAGTCTGCACATCAAGTATATCAAAAGTACTGAAAGTGATTTTACTAAGACTTATGCGGAGAGGGTCTTTGAAATATATCTGCGGTCTTATTATCGCCCTCGATGGTATTTACCTCATCATGCAGTATTAAACATGAAAAAATCAGATCTTAGAGTGGTCCTTGATTGTGCCGACCAGTTTGCAGGGGTTCCCCCAAATGATATGATTTATCAAGAACCCGATACCACTGCTGAGTTAAGGTGTATATTAATAAGTTTTCGCATGGAGGCAGTTGCAATCCCTGTAGATGTTGAAGAAATGTTCATGCAAGTGAAGGTCCCTGAGTCTGATCGAGGAGCTTTAAGATTTCTGTGGCGGCAAGAGGGAGACATGTCGAGGGAATCATCCGAGCTTCAAATGACATCCCATCCATTTGATGCCACATCAGCGCCGTTTTGCGCGAACCTTGCCCTGAATAAGACGGCCCAAATATTCTCTGACGGTTATGATGGTTATGTTGTAGATGATGTCAAGAATAATTTCTATGTTGATGATTGCTTGATATCCATTCCCACTTATGATCAAGCAAAGAGTTTCGTTAAGCAGATAAGTGAATTATTATGTAGAGGAAATATACAAAAAATGACCGATCTTGAATCTTGGTTCAAATGTCCTATTTTATGGCATGGCGAATTTTATATAACAATCACTGACTGTCCGGAACCTACTCTTGACGATAGTGAGTTTAGAAAAACTGCTGTGGTTAACTTGAGTAGTATAAAGTACAACATGTCACCTATTCTCTCTTATTACTCCGAGTGGTTGAAATTAGTCAGAGTTGTAACCTGCTTTAGAAGGTTCATCGAATTCCTGATGGTACTTCGTTTACCGAGTTGTGAAGGATCCGTTCATCTAGGATGTTTAAAGGTCAAAGAGCTTGAGATTGCCAAGCGTAAGATTTTATTGATGGTTCAGAGAGAAGTATTTGGAGAATTACTTGGTGAATTTAAAAACAGCAGTAAAGTAGTAAGCCATGATGATCTGAAAGGTTTATCGTTGATAATGCTTGATGGTTTACTCTGCGTTGGAGGTCGACTAAGATACTCAGACTTCCCAAATGCTTTTAGATATCCAGTAATTTTACCTAGTCGACACTTAGTGACGGAAATGATAATTAGACATTGTCATAAAGAACAAGGACACGTAGGAAGATCATTAGAAAAAGGGTATGGATATGTGTTTACTTGTTTGCAAACATGGGCAGTACATATTGAAATGATGTGTAATTTGATTACTGATTCATTTTTAATGGCTCTATTACGTTTTGTTGGAAGAAGGAAACCTCCAGAGATTTACAGTGTCAGTGCGTCAAGCTTCGTGGGCACAGTTTCTGAGTTAAGCAAGTTTGTGCAGCAGTCGAATCAGAAGATAAACATTGAATTGTCAGTGAGGCCTTCATCCAACAGCATGGGTGGAGTTTGGGGAAGAGTGATTAGGTCTATATCACGACTGTTATTGTTGATCACCAGAGAACAGGTGAAGCAGGTCTCCTTGAAGCTTTGGATTAGTCTTTGTTGTTATTAATGTAGTTAGGTCGAGTAGGCGTACTGTTGTAAGTCCTACTCGTTCCTATGGTGTGATATGTTATATAATGAACCATGACCGTAGGCGTCAAGGTAGCTTGTGTGGTATGGAGGGATTTTGGGGGCCGGTGTAAGATCCATTTTGAAGGTTTTATGTGTTGGTGAAAATCCCTCCATGTATATACTTGTACTTTATTCCTATTGATCGCATTAGTTGTACATTGTTGTATTTTGATTACATTTGAATTGTTAATATTTGTATTTTTGTTATAGTTTTTGTTTTTATTACGCATTCACTAAGTTTGTGTTTCTTCCTGAACTGCATCTGCATTGTTTTACTTGACACTTGTTCTTGGCGGTAGCCATATTGATTTGTTCCTCCTGTTGTGTGTGATCTATCCAGCCAGGATAGAATAACGTTGATTTGTTG